CGCCTGACTCCCAGCAAGAGCTCTTTAATGAAAAGCTGGTGTAAATTTGTGAATATTATTACTGCTTAACACTATCCAATTGAAAAGCTGACTCTTTAATTCAATATTTGGCTTGTAAAGGTTCTTTTGATTACAGACCTTCGATGATACCGTGGCGTAATCATGAGGGGCATATTTTTGTCAAGTTCACCAGCCTAGCACATTTTTCTAACAACACATACACACTGGTTCGCGCAAACGTCTTTGGAAAATCACTCTGTTGCCAAAACGGCAAATTCAAATGGATTGTGAAAGTTGAGTGGCTGGACTAACTACTAGAAAGTGCTGGGTCGATGAGAAACAAATTTAACATGCAGCAATCCATGAACCAATGCGTCGATCACCGGCGATCGATTTGAATAGAAGCAGTAACGAAAGAGTTAAAGAAGAAATTTTTCTCTTTTTTACCTTATCTTGATTTAAAATTATGTGTTCTGAGACAACTCGACCTCCCTACATATCGTAAAATGTATCCTTGCTTATTTGGTCTTTACACTTACTGCAGTTACTCGGAGATGGTTTTCTCCTCGCAGCTGCCATTCAGTGTTTTTTTTTTTTTCTTCTCCTCTGCATCTATGAAGTTTCGCTTACCACTTTTCCTTGCCATTTAACTTACCCTGCCAGATATATTCCTTGCTGATAAGTGGAGACTGGGTTTTAGGCAAATGCCTATTTTGTTTTTTGCGATCCTATCGCACCAATTATTTAAATAAGCAGGCAATGGAGGTTAAGAGGGCTTTTTACAGTGTTTTTATATGCCTACTTTAGGTATTTCGAGACCGTACCATTCTATGGTCACTGCATCGTACCTTGCCAACCACTTCCACATCCTGCACGATGCCTGGGTGTGCACTCAATATAAAGTCTATTTCGTTCTTATTTTTGCCATTAGGGCTCCTCTATGTCCACTTGCGGTTTCCTCGTTTTCGGTAGAAGGTATTCAAAATCCGTAAATTATTGCGTTCTGCAAATTCTACTAGTAGCTCTCCTCTGGCGTTTCTAGTACCGATGCCATAATCCTCTACTGCCTGGTCTCCCGCCTGCTTCTTCCCTACCTTTGCATTAATGTCTCCCATCAGTATTGTATACTGTGTTTTTACCTTACTCATTGCCGATTCCACATCTTCATAGAAGCTTTCAACTGAAGCACCATCATGGCTGGATGTAGGCACATAAGCCTGTACCACCTTCATCTTGTATCTCTTATTCAGTTTAATTACGATACCTACCACCCTTTCATTAATGCTATAGTATTCCTCTATGTTGCCAGCTATGTTTCTGTGAATTAAGAACCCCACTCCCAGTTCTCTTCTGTCAGCCAAGCCCCGATAGCAAAGGACGTGCTAATTCTGTAGCACCGTATAGGCCTCATCTGTCCTCCTAATCTCACTGAAACCTATTATATCCCATTTAACACCATCTACCTCCTCCAATAATACAGCTAGACTTCCCTCACTAGATAAGTTTCTAGCGTTAAACGTTGCCAAGTTCAGGTTCCAATGGCGGCCTGTCCGGAACCAGAGATTCCTAGCATCCTCTGCTGCGTTGCAGATCTGACAGCCGCCGTGGTCAATTGTTTCGCAGCTGCTGGGGACTGAGGGCTGTGAGTTATTTGACGTATGCATGTGGGAGGAGAAACTGATACACAAGAAGCCAATCAATGAGCTCGCACTGAGAGGGAAAGTACAGCAATTCAGAGTCTCGCTTCAGAACAGGTACTCGGCTCTTAGTGAGGAAACCAACCTTAGCATAGATACAACGAATGATAATCTGACGAGTATCATTACGGAGTGTGCAGTGGAAGTTGGAGGCGGGGTAGTTAGACAGGACACTGGCAAGCTTTCCCTGGAAACGAAGAATCTCATTAAGAAGCGTCAAATCATGAAAGTCTCAAGTACAACAGACAAAATAGAACTGGCAGAGCTTTTGAAGTTGATTAATAGGCGTAAGGTATCCGATGTAAGAAGATATAACATGGAGAGAATTGAACACGCTCTGAAAAACGGAGGAAGCTTCAAAGCAGTGAAGAGGAAACTTAGGATAGGCAAAAATCGGATGCATGCACTAAGGGACAAAGAAGGCCAAATAACTACGAATATGGATAGGATAGTTAAAATAACGGAGGAGTTTTACAGAGATCTGTACAGTAGCCGGGACAATTACGACCTTAATACTATAAGAACTAGCAGTAACCCAGACGACACCCCACCAGTAATGATAGAAGAAGTCAGAAAAGCTTTTGGAGAGCATGCAAAGAGGCAAAGCTGCTGGTGAGGATCAGGTAACATCAGATCTGCTGAAAGATGGAGGACAGATTGTGTTAGAAAAACTAGCCACCCTGTTTACGAGGTGTCTCCTGACAAGAAGGGTACCAGAGTCTTGGAAGAACGCTAACATCATCTTAATACATAAGAAAGGACATGACAAGGACTTGGAGAATTACAGGCCGATTAGCTTGCTCTCTGTAGTATACAAGCTATTTACAAAGGTAATTGCTAACAGAGTAAAGAAAACATTAGAATTCAATCAACCAAAGGAACAAGCAGGATTTCGAACAGGCTACTCAACAATTGACCACATTCATACTATCAATCAGGTAATAGAGAAATGCTCAGAGTATAACCAACCACTATACATAGCCTTCATAGATTACGAGAAGGCGTTTTTGATTCAGTAGAAATATCAGCCGTCATGCAGACACTGCGGAATCAGGGCGTAGATGAAGTATATATAAACATTCTGGAAGAAATCTACAGGGGATCAACTGCTACCATTGTGCTTCATAAAGAAAGCAACAGAATACCAATCAAGAAGGGTGTAAGGCAGGGGGACACAATCTCCCCAATGCTATTCACCGCGTGCTTACAGAAGGTTTTCAGAAACCTAGAATGGGAACAGTTAGGGATAAGAGTTAATGGAGAGTACCTTAGTAACCTGCGCTTTGCCGATGACATTGCATTGCTGAGTAACTCAGGGGACGAATTGCAACTCATGATTACGGAGTTAGACAAGGAGAGCAGAAAGGTGGGTCTTAAAATGAATCTGCAGAAAAGGAAAGTAATGTACAATAACCTCGGAAAAGAGCAGCGCTTCGAGATAGGTAATAGTGCACTTCAAGTTGTAAAAGACTATGTCTACTTAGGGCAGGTAATAACCGCGGAGCCGAACCACGAGATTGAAGTAACTAGAAGAATAAGAATGGGGTGGAGCACATTTGGCAAGCTCTCTCAAATTATGACAAGTAGATTGCGACTATCCGTCAAGACGAAGGTATAAAACAGCTGTATCTTGCCGGTACTTAGCTACGGTGCAGAAACCTGGAGACTTACAAAGAGGGTTCAGCTTAAATTGAGGATGACGCAACGAGCAATGGAAAGAAAAATGGTAGGTGTTACCTTAAAAGACAAGAAGAGAGCGGAGTGGATTAGGGAACAAACGGGAGTTAAGGATATCATAGCTGAAATCAAGAAGAAATGGACATGAGCCGGGCATGTGGCGCGTAGGCAGGATAACCGCTGGTCGTTAAGGGTAACTAACTGGATTCCCAGAGAACCCAAGCTGGTTAGGGGGAGACAGAAGGTTAGGTGGGCAGATGAGATTAAGAAGTTTGCGGTTATAAATTGGCAGCAGCAAGCATAGGAGCGGGTTAACTGGCGGAACACGGGAGAGGCCTTTGTCCTGCAGTGGACATAGTCAGGCTGATGATGATGATGATGATTTTAGGTATTTGTGCCTAAATGCTCGTGAATGCCTATTAATGTGTATTTTCAAAATTGGCACTTATACTAGTACACTTCTTAGCCCCAAGTTTTGTTCCTGTGTCCAGTTTGGAGACATTTATTCAGGCTGCCATACAAAAATGACTTCCCAAATTTATAAGGTTCAACCTAGTCCCCTATTTCAATCCACTCGTGAGAACAACCGTTAGTAGTAGTGAAGTGAAACACGCTGACGAGCATTTGTCTCTGTACTGACATAGCGCGAGTGATTGGCAGATGCAAAAGTACAAAGAGCTGTCAGCGGGAAGGGGAGTGACGAGCAAAAAAAAAAAAAAAGGTGATGTGTACACCGTTTTTGTTTTGTTTGTGATTTACTGTGTAAGCTGTTCATTGCAGAAGCCTAACCAGAAACTTTTCTCAGGGGGACGGTTCTGGATAGGAGAGGGTTCAACTATACTTCATATGTGTGTGTACATTTTCGTGCGAGACACAGGCAAAGCTGGAAAGTTTGGGGGAGAGGAGGGGGTGGTTTAACAACCCTGCCCCACCCTCTTTGGCTACACCAGTGGGAAAATGGCCTCCGTGCAATTCCGTGCAACAGCTGCATCATCTGATGCTGTATTTTCACCAGCCGAATATGCTGCGCTGCTGTCGTCTGTATCATCTAGTGGCAAAAACTTTCTTGAGGCTTCAGCACTTTTGGCGCGTTCACCGCAGGCATGGACTTCCAAGCAACCACCTAATAGTAGGCAGCTGGTACAAGTGCAGCAAAAAACGAAATGCCGACTATGCCTTCATCGTACTAGCATCATACTACCTCGGCTGCATGAGGAGCACCTTGGGAAGTTAGAGGCCACCTCTTCAGGACACCTGAGATGATTGAACGTTGTGAGGTGCGACATACAGAGCTAGATGACGCATGCAAACTTCCAAATTACTATGTATTATTTTCAAGCTATATTCACTAAAGACATTTTGTAGACAATATGAGCATGTCCACAGTAATCCAAAATCAATCCCACAAGCTATCTTGGCAGCAAAATTGAGTCAGTACCCCTTTACCTACATAGGCAGTTCTTGCATTTCATGCGCAGTGGTTGTCAGTGGCCGAGAAACAAAACTATTTTCTTGAGCTTAGCAGTGGACACATTAGCCAACTACCGCAAAGGGCTCTGCATCGGCGGGCTCTTTTACAGCAACTGAGTGAAATGTTGCTGCCAATGTATGGAGCCCCACCCTCACTTGGCGTAGGCCTTCTCCAGGAGGGGGGCCCAGAACTCCGAGGCGGCCTGTGACCGGCAGCCGTACAGCGTGCCCTCCACGACTGGCAGGTGGTCGTCCACGAGCACCTCGATCCAGCTACCCAACAGCCAGAAACAGAAACGGAACACGCCGGGGTGTTTCTTCCCTGCACGCCACTCCTGCTTCTTGGCATCGGGAAACACCTGGCCACAAACGGGAGGAATCGTTATCGTCACTGTCTAACGCTTCCCTGTGCCACCTGCATGGTGATCAGCACTCTGCCAGTGCATCTGACTATCCTTTAGCAACTCCTAGCTTTAATGTAACAGAGTCTACGCTCGTCATCATGCAAACAAGCATGAAAGTTTTCCTGTGAAATAGGGTGCCTGCCAATTGTGTTACTGCAAATGTATTAAAGGGGTTCTGCAGCACTTTTTGAGCATGGTCAGAAAACAATGGTAATCAGTAGTCGAGGCTCCAGAGAAAATGAGAGTCAATGAAGCACACGACCTCGAACTTAGCTTTCTTAAAGTCAGCTAGAAATCGTTTCCTCTTTTCTAAAAAAACGATGTCATAAGCCTAAATGCCTGTTCCATAAACCCAATGTCCATTGCCAATGCTGATGTAAGCGTCGGCAGCTATATAGTTACCATGGCCACTGCGGGATGTAACTAGATGCGCGCACACATGCTCGCGATAACACTAAATGTAAGCCACACTGGCCGCACATCTTCTTGCCCCCTTGCCATTCCCTCCCCTGCTTAGATCTCGTACGAAAAGAGAGAGAGAGAAGCATTCAAAGAGTGCGACAAACCCCAGTCACTCGGCTCGTACTTGACCGTTTCCAAAAAATTTTGCGGCAAGTGACTTGTGAAGTATCATGTACTGACAGCAAGACTTTTATTAGAGCTCAGAAAAGTGCTGCAGGGCCCCTTTAAAATTTTGTATGCGTGCTGAGAACTATAGGTGGCTTGAAAAAAATTGGTCCTGTAGCTGGGCGAGTCGGTATTTACACAAGTGCCTTCAAATATCCTAGTGCTATCGCTAGCGGCAACGTAAGTTTCAGAATAATCTGCAATGATGCCATTGTGGGCGTAATCGCATCGGAAAGTCCTACGATTATCTCGATGGTTCTTTAGTCAATGGGCAGGGTTGCACAAGGCAGCACATACACGTGTAATGAGGCAGTAAGGAAACTTGAGAAAGGAGCGCGGTAATATGCATTTGTTGCTGCCTTTTAGACCTCGCAAGCAAACACTTAATCCATTTTTCGAAAATGAAGACTTCCTATCCACATTTCATACATAAAGCAGGCTACGCTTTTTACATACTTTATTGCGCCTGATTTGAGGTTTTACGAGCCTGTCATGGTGCTTAAGGGTCAAACTTACATTCCTAAAAATCCAGCCCCTATTGCTTTAAAATAACTTATTACACACATCTCATTTCTTAAATACAAGTCTACTCGAATGCTTCATAGCTTTATTGTACTATTACCACATTGAAGTACAAAAGTAATTACTAATGAGTTTATGCGTCAATGCTTTAAATTCATATATGCACTCTTCCACATTGGAACCTCGTCCTATAGACGTTGAAGGAGAGACTGAAATTTTCTTTGTACAGGAAGCATGCAAGTGTGGGTTGGAAAAGGGGGCACCCAGCATTGTGAATGACAAATCAGGGCAGCAATTCGTTGTGCACCTTGGCAAGCAGCTCTTGGTCGTGGATGAGAACTGTGCAGACAGTGATAAACCAGGCATTTGCTGGCCGACTGTGGCAGACGCTACTGCTGGCAATGCTGTCCGCAAACAGCCGTGGCTGCGAACACAACTCCTGCAATGGCCAGGAAAAACAGGAAATAGTGTAACCGGCTATCAGAAAATGCACATAAGCACCCCATGAGTAAAACTGCCCAGGTAAGGTCACAAATGAACGTACCATCAGCGCAACTTCAATGGCAACGGCAACTACTAAAATGTCTGACTGCATTTCCAAATTTATCTGCAATGGGATAGGTGGTCAACAGAAAAGCCTGAAATCATAAGTCAGCAAACTTGGCCACGAGTCGACTCACTCAGACGGAGAAGCGAGTATGAGTCTGTGTGAGTGCGGGTGAGCAGCATTCCGTCAAGTTCAAATACGTGTCAAGAAATAGACGCAAGTTTATTCAAAAAAAGTCCGCCAAGTTATTCAAGGATCTGGGCAGATATCCCCGCCTAGGTATCAGCCACGAGCCCTTAAGCTCAGGTGGCGACCTCAGCCAGCTGGACGGTTCACAGTTGGTCTTCGAGGGCATGGCTGAGTAGTGCACTTTCCCAGCACGTTCAGTTCCTACGTCTGGAGCCCCAACTCTGCTACACTCCCATAACACGTGTTCCTAGGTTGCCCTGGACTCACAAAACTTGCAGCGTGATGCATAGAGCTTTGGGTAACAGAGATTCAAGATCACCGGGTTCGGAAATGTCCTGATCTGCAGCTGTCAACACGTGACCACCTGCTTTTTGTTCAGTTTTTGGTGTGGTCGCGGAAATTTGCACCTGGCCAATTTGTAATGCTGGGTATAATATTCTTGAAACTAGAAGGTGATCCTCCCACTCCCGTTCCTCACCCGACGTCGTGGCCGAGGCGGCGGTGGTGATGGTGGCGGCTCGGTCCATAAACCCTCGAGCCACCTCGTTGTCGGCGAGCGAGGAAGTGTGGGCGAGTGCCTATAATACATAAATATCCCTATTTTGAATTTTGCCCACGAGTAAAATTCGTAATGCCTCGGGAAAAACGGGGCTGTTAGCAAAGTTGCGAATGCCGTCTAGGAGTCACTGATAACCACTTCGGCCACGATGGTGGCCACTGCGAGCGCGATAGCCCCTTCCTCTACTGTCTCCACGTCATCTGTGTGTACCGTGACGCTAGTCCTGGAAAAGTTCAGTGATCTATTACAGCAGCCACGAAGCCGCGCCTGCGCGCATATCTGGCCGCGTCCACGAACACTGCCTCTCGACATTCGCCATACTTCCTCTGTAAGTCCTGTGCTCTTTTCCCGTCTACCCCTGTGGTATTCGGGGTGCACGTTCTCCGGCAAAGGATAGATGACCAGCCTATCGCTTACATTGCTTGGTATGTTGAGTTTTACACCATGCTGAGCGTAATATCAGATTCCTAATCTCGCTAGCTCGTGTCTCCCCATTATGCTTTTGCAGAGAAGCTTGTACTGCGGTATGCTTTGTGCTTCTATCAATTCTTCCGGCGCGTTGTGGAGACCCTGATCGAGTAATTTACTCATGCTTGTCTTCATTAGTAGCCCTATCGCCTGTTTGTATGCCTTCCTGATTAAGCCCTCCATCTTTGTCTTTACCCCTACCTGCCACTTCAGGCACGATGCTAAGTACGTTATTCGGCTATCGAAAAATTTTAGTCAGTCTGAGTGAGCGCAAAGTGCAAAATATACACTCAAATCTCGTTATAACGAAGTTGAAGGGGAGCCATAATTATTTTCTTATATCCATTATTTCGTTATATTGATTATAACAGTTTGTGGCAATGTATGCTCAGATGGGCACACACCTATAAGCATGCAAACAAGAAAACCGCCTCGCCACCCAATGTACCGTTATGTGACACCGCGTGCCACGGAAAAGAAACTCAGTCGTATCTCATTAATTCGAACTCACGCTGAAGTCTCGTCAAAGCCATGTGTGTGTTCCAATGGGCGAAAACACCCTGTGATTCGAACGCGCAAGCGCTTGCGACAATTAATTCGAACATACCGCGCTTGGAAAATGCTCTCAGCACCATGCCTGATCCCTCAACAATACCTCTCAACGATGCGCGCGAAGAAGGAAAAGAAGAAAAGACTGTGACGGATTGTTTGCTCTCTCTCAAACGCCGATCTGCAAAGCGCCTGTGCCACGCTTCTCCTTTTTCCGTCTCTGCAGGTAGAGACCCTTCTCCTTTCAAAGCCGCGTGTGGAGAGGGTAGCCTCCATAGTAGCAGCGGAGATGCAGTCGTTGCCGTCGTGAGAGGGCAATCGCTTTGCGCCGTGGCGCCACTTCTCGGCCATATAACCCGCTGAGCGCTTCCTCAATCCTCTCCGCTGGCTTTGTGAGGAGGACGGCTCCATTGGCCAGGTGGGGCGTGGCTGTAAGGTCGGCACGGGAGTTTTGAAAGAGCTGTGCCGAACGAGCTTCAAACTCTACAGAAAACATACACTTAACACATTACGGTAGTTTTTTTTATAGACTAACTTTGTTTGTTATATACATTTACTGGTCAATTTCATTACAACGAGGTTTCAAATGCATGGTTCTCACTAGAGCTTTCACGGGGAATTTCATTTACTTCGTTATATCCATTATTTTCTTATATCTCAATACGTTATAACAAGGTTTGAGTGTATTTCTTGAATGTGCTTGAGTAGCTGCACACTTTCTTGTTGACCTATGCCGCTGTGTCTTTCTATTTCTCAGTCTTCGTTTTCGCGCTGTTTACCTCAAACAATGCCTCTGAATCTCTTTCTTTTTGGCATGGCTGAGAAGGGCTACACAGGTGCAAATAGAGCACAATAGGCCAGAAGCATCTCTTGCCTCGCATTAACTTGGTCTGCCCGCGCAGGGTATATTTTTCTTGTCTGTGAACACCTTAAAGGGACATTACGCAGGTTTGAGAATATCGAGAAGTGAAGAGTAATGCATGCACTGGGTGCTGTGCTACACGTGCCACAAAAAGGTCAAATGCCAGACTGAACAACCGCTTGACCTTCACCTCACCGGTGTGCACCTCAACATGGTGGAGGTGATGGAATGGTCCTGCGTACGTCAAAGTAGCACATGTCACTGCGAGAATTATTCGAGAAAACGTGCGTAATTTGTGCAATCTGTTGCCTGGATAAGACCTTGTAAGCTTGACAGTGCTGAAAGTAACTTATGAGATAAAGTATAGGTTGCACCCCCCCAGTGTTCTGAAAGCTCGTTTCCACCGGGTAACATGAATACCGTGCTCCAGCGGTACTTGAAAGCAAAATTTGAGGTTGAATAGCGTTTATACAGGCACGAATTTTGAAAACAGGCATTTAGAGGCACTTATAGGAATTTAGGCACAAACATCCATAATATACGCACTATAAAAACACTATAAAAGCTCTACTCACCTCTAATTCGTCCTCTTATGTGAAAATTGCACAATAGGAACGCAAAAAACAAAATAGGCATTTGCTTAAAATCTGGTCTTTAGTAATTACTAATAAGTAAAACATGTGCAAGGCATGCTGGTTCCGCCAGCACGGAGTAAATATTAAAGCTGTGAAAGCTGGAAAGAGCAAATGCCCAGCAGGAAAGGTGATCACGCAGTCGCAGGAATGAGCAAGGGGCACAAAGGTTCTTTGCAGTGCCCTCTCTGCCTACTAAGTCAACATAATAGGCCGACTTTGGGTCCCTCTTTTTCCCTTGTGCATATGCCTATGCAGGCAATGCAAGCTTTAACAGGTTTGTTTAATAGGACTGAATGCATGAACTTTTTTCCTCCTATTTGTCTCACATTATTGTTGAAGCCGTTTATGCGAAGAAACAGTTCTCATCTTTTATAGGAGCAGTTCTTGTTTCTTATAAGCAAAGAACCTCATTCTCAACTTTCGGCTGCCATAAAAATACTAATGTCTCTTAAGGGTTTACACCATATCCACAAAATATGCTAGCAATTGGGCACCTAGCTCGCTAGACCTTGCGATGAAATGACTGCAGCATGCAAATAAACAACCAAGGCGGCACGAGTGAATGAGCACTGTCAGACTATGCTTACCGAGGGTCGTCTCCACTGTACTTGTGAACCCTGGCCTCTGACGTAAATAGATGAGGCATCAGCCGGGAATGATGGGTCGACAAAGGGCTGGCCCGACTTGAGCGCTTCGTTCCGCACAGTTGTGTAGCTGAGGCTGGAGCCAGTCAAGCCTTTTCTCCTGCCCATGGCCACCTCCACTCCTGCAGGTGTCAGCTCTTGCTTTGCATGTGCACTGTAAATATCCCCCACAAATACTTTACAATTAGCCCGAGTAAATATTCGGACGCTTCAAATACTCAAACCAATACTACATTATTTTAATTCTCTTCGACAAAGATGTAAAATTTTTGGAATTACAAAGTATTAAAAATGAATGAATACATGCACATTTGACAACTTGTAACCTCTCTGTAAATGAGGTTGTGCTGCAACAGGAGGTACAATGCCATGAAACCACCAGTTTGGGACAAAATTTGCACTGCCACACATCCACATTAATAAGTTTGCACATTGCCTGCAGCCCAATTTTCTAAAATTTAAAAGCCTGTCATACAGGCTTGTAGGGGAAAAGTGCAGAAGATCTTAAAACTTAATGTAAATTACTACTCATAACTTGCACTTTACTGCTAGTCATTTAAATCATGCTACTGTTCGAGTTCACTTCAAGATTGTTCAGCACCAAAAGCCATTCGCTTAGACTATGATAGGAGCCAAAAAGCAGTGTGTTAACACAAGCCTACTCCAAAGCAACAATTCACTCTCGAAACTAGCAGCCAGTTCTTCAAAGCTGATCAGTAAGCATGTGCAAATAGCAAATTTTAGGTTCAAAGCGAAAAGAAATTCGGTCAAATAGTATATATCATTTATTACAAACTAAAATGAACATATTCATAATGACTCAACTAACCTGCACAATATTTTTTAAATTAAAATAAGGCATGCAAAAATGTCATTCTTTTTCGTTCAAAAGAAAGTGGAAGCAATTTTGGATAGTAGCAGCATTTCGCTTTTGGTAGAATGAATGTGGTAATCGGTAAAATTTGTCGCAAAATTTACTAAACTTAGAGCATATAAGCTGGCAAACCAAGCTTTTAAACTTAAAAATCTGTGAATCGATGTGAGGGTAATATGTTCACTCAACCTTGAAGTAGAGCTATGCAACAGTGCGAATTTCCCCTGGATAGGTGAATTCATGGTATTGCATACCTCTGCTGCTGTGAAAGCCCCTTTACAGAAACTCTCATGCCCCTCTCCCACCCCCTCGTTCATGTTTATTTCACATATTTCAAAATTTAGCATAATTTAAATTCATTTTGAATCAAAGTCAAATACTGTAATATTCGCGTGAATATTCAAAGTACTCGAATAATTGCATATGCCAACTGGTCAAACATATACAGAAAACAAACAATGTTTACTACAGACTTGAGTACAGAACTTTTTCTATGCCATGACTGGCATACTCCCTGACAGTAGCAAATGAAGAGCAATTGAAAAAGTAACTTGTTGGTGAGAATTACAGTGTACTGTATAGAGATGAAATATAGCAAAGGGACCCAGCTGACAAAATAGAAGATTTCTTTGCTCTTTTCTACCACAGGCATTGCTCAGCAGCATCACAGAATATTGTACAGCACAGCCTAATGTACTACATCTGCTACTGCTAAAGGAGGCATTCTAGAATTGTTATTGAAATTCGAATATACCTCTTGCTGAGACTTCGTTTTTTCCCTCATACCTACAGAGTTATTACCTTTGCAGTCATGGCTGGTGCTAATACTGTAAAGTTGCTTTTGTCAAGCTACTAACTATGCAGACCTGCATAGAGTGCACGCGGTTACGAAGTGTTCTTTGTATTTCGTGCCCATCAGAGTGTTAATACACACACCTTTATACTCAACAGCTCAATACCCCTAGCTACAGCGAGTGTGATGAGAAATTGCAATACACCTCGTATGCCTTTCTTTTAGGCTGTTGTGTTTTGAGTATCCACAAAACCGCAATTTTGCAGTACTGCCTAGGTAAAGCATTTTCTGTCCGTTTAGCAAAAAAAAAAAAAAAAAATATTGGCCACATATGTGCATGCTTCGCTGCAAATGTTGTCAAAGGACGATAAATATTCTGCTGGCTGTACTACATGAGTCTTGGTTTTACCAGCATAGAATATGGTGCTGCATGAGACATGGATATGGAGTAGAAATATCAGCCGTCATGCAAACACTGTGGAATCAGGGCGTAGATAAAGTATATATAAACATTCTGGAAGAAATCTACAGGGGATCAACTGCTACCATAGTGCTTCATAAAGAAAGCAACAGAATACCAATCAAGAAGGGTGTAAGGCAGGGGGGACACAATCTCCCCAATGCTATTTACCGCGTGCTTACAGGAGGTTTTCAGAAGCCTAGAATGGGAACAGTTAGGGATGAGAGTTAATGGAGAGTACCTTAGTAACCTGCGCTTTGCCGATGACATTGCATTGCTGAGTAACTCGGAGGACGAATTGCAACTCATGATTACGGAGTTAGACAAGGAGAGCAGAAAGGTGGGTCTTAAAATGAATCTGCAGAAAACGAAAGTAATGTACAATAACCTCGGAAAAGAGCAGTGCTTCGAGATAGGTAATAGTGTACTTCAAGTTGTAAAAGACTATGTCTACTTAGGGCAGGTAATAACCGCAGGAGCCGAACCACGAGATTGAAGTAACTAGAAGAATAAGAATGGGGTGGAGCACATTTGGCAAGCACTCTCAAATTATGACAGGTAGATTGCCACTATCCCTCAAGAGAAAAGTATAAAACAGCTGTATCTTGCCGGTACTTAGCAACGGAGCAGAAACCTGGAGACTTACAAAGAGGGTTCAGCTTAAATTGAGGACGACGCAGCGAGCAACGGAAAGAAAAATGGTAGGTGTAACCTTAAGAGACAAGAAGAGAGCAGAGTGGATTAGGGAACAAACGGGGGTAAGAATAACATAGCTGAAATCAAGAATAAGAAATGGACATGGGCCGGGCATGTAGCACGTAGACAGGATAACCGCTGGTCCTTAAGGGTAACTAACTGGATTCCCAGAGAAGGCAAGTGGGTTAGGGGGAGACAGAAGGTTAGGTGGGCAGATGAGATTAAGAAGTTTGCAGGTATAAATTGGCAGCAGCAAGCACAGGACTGGGTTAACTGGCGGAAAATGGGAGAGGCCTTTGTCCTGCAGTGGACGTAGTCAGGCTGATGATGATGATGATGAGATATGAATGCCATCTGACAGCGCTGTCTTAAAACATAACTTGCGCAGAACCCAAGGCCAGGTGGCAGCACCGTATCATCAACAGAGTGCTTTTTCATGGATAGTGTTGCATATTTAATGCAGTGTAAGAAACACTCACTTTCTAGAGCATAGCATTGCATTTTCAGTGCAGCGTATGAAACACTAAAGGCTTTAGAATAACATACCTATGTATTTTCTAGTAAAGGAACACACCACCTAATACTTACGTATTGATGTTGTGCCTCAAACATGCGTAATATTTGCTCTTTGAGCGACAGTGTGCACAGGTATGAACGCAACCACCAGTTTAAGATGGCTTGGCATTGAGCAAGTGATTAAGCTTTGGCCAGGTGTTTGAATGGTGTGACAGACAAACCCAAATTTCTGCGTTCAGCTATCCCAAGAAAGACTATTCTCTTGTAAAATCAAAACTTTCAGAGATGCTTACTTTTTACAACTGTATGGCCAGCACGAAGCTAGCATATATTTTTCGGGCGCACTCTACTCTCCATAGAACTAAGAATATCACTTGTTGGGTTGAATCTACAATCAGAGTGCACATACGATTCGGCAGCTCATTGTGCCGTGTAAAGGAGCCAACCATAAAGCGAGTGCCCTCTTTTTGAGCCCACGGCTGCCAAAGGTTAGGATAAGAGGGAAAAAAACAAAACGAAAGATGAAAGAACCGGACACCCGCACACATCATTTGCTACGAAGATGAAAAAAAAAATGAAAATTCGAGCAAGCAACGCAAGTGAGGCATTAAAAGTGTGAAGAAAGAAAGTTTGCGGCGAGCACTGAGATATGCTACAGATGCAGTTATCGAAAACTAATGAAAAAGAAACGCCCATCCGAGAAACGGTCTCCACTCGTGAAAAGCAGTTCCTTGCTACGCGGCGCCATGCTAGTGTTTAAGAGACAGTCACGTTGGTAAGCCATAGACGAAGGTCGCCAGGATATTGTTGTAATGGGACATCGCGGTACCCAAAAATTGACTTATAGATCATCGGGCTTCGAGACGTCCCGAAGCGCGGCCAACGACAGCAGGCATCACTCACCTCGCCACGCTAGTCACGCCGGCTACATCAGCTTCGACAGAAGCAGTGTAGACGGTTCGAGAGTCGGTGTGCGTAGGAGCTAAGGTCACCGTGCCAGAACCCGGCGTTCATTCATCGCCCTTCGCGTCTTCTCCCCTATTTCCATTTTTGTATTCGCGAGGGCATTTTTGCCGCCCATTGTGACCAGGCGCGTAAACAACAAGCACTAAGGTTGGTGAATGGCATACGTAATTTAAGCTAAATTTTTTTGATAAAATAGGCATAATTTCTTTTTTGACTAAAACAAAAAAACAGTGGAAAAACTAAATAAAGTTTGTTTCGCTTGTTTCAAGTTCTTGTACTTGCCTACAAGTTTGGCGATACAATCGACAAAGCATCAGCGCTTTAAGCGTCATCACACGGTGGCTGTCGACAACGCAAAACACACGGACCAAATGTTTTCTTGAAGCACGTGTTTGCCATGGAGGAAATCGAAGAATCGCACGGTGAGAACTGGCCGTTGCCACGAATATTCGGATCGCACGAAGCGGCATTTGCTGGAAAAAAGACCCGGAGAAGCTTGATGACGTCTCTTAGAAAGCGTTTAAACTTTGACGCGTCGTTCAGATGACATCCTTAAAGTGGCACTAGACCGCCGATGGCGCGCAGTAACAACGCTTGGCAACGGCACAAGCTCGCCGTGTGCAAATCGCGCTGCCGACTCGACGCACGTGCCTCAGCGCGGTGCCCAGTTGTGGGGTGGGATATGCGGGCCCGATCGCGAGTGGATGTTCTTTGAAATCGCCGATTCGCTGTCGCTCAATTTGGCTGCTTAACTGCCCCGACTCAGCGCGCGTACTGTTAAGATTAAGTGCCGTCTTTCCTCGGGCCAACATCTTGTCATTCACTAGGGCAAGCCTTCTGATCTCGTCTTGGACGGTGGTTGATACTCAAACTAATAGTGATCATAGCCCAATAGTGATTGAAAATACTCCTTGGTCCCATTGGATTGCCAAAGAGTCCCACTTTTGTAAACCATTCAAAATTTTAAAAAAAGTTTGCAGTCCGCTTTATCATCTTTGTTGAATAACTCTGAAAATGACGTTATAGCCATGGACCTTCGTTCAGTTTTAAAACGCATTATGAAAAGCTCTCAGTTCATTAAAGCCTCAGCTAGAAGTAAACCTGTAATTGTTTGGTGGGATTCTAATTGTGAACGAGAGTACGGACGCAGAAAGGCCGCATGGAAACACTTCTTATTAACCCGTGCCCTACAAATTGGAGTAATTACAAGTATGCCAACACAATGTTTAAAAGAACTGTTTCCACGGTGAAATCTCGACATGAAGAAAACCGTTAATGCATTTTGTTCTAAAAGCTGCTAGAAAAATCTATCTTTAGATTTCTTAGGTCTCACAAAGTTATTCCTTCATCCATGAACATGGAGTTTGTTGTACTGGCTTCTAAAGAATCGGCTAATCTCTTAGATGTATTCGCATTGGGATTACAAAAGCGCTTTACATCACAGTTACAATTATTCTTCCCCGAACCTTGCTTTGCGGATGATTTTGTGAGCATAACTAGAACTTGCTCGTGTTGTTCAGTCTCTCCCCAATTCAGCTCCCGGGCCAGATAGCATTTTGACATACGTGCTAAAAATGCTGTTTGAGGTGTCTCCTCAGGATCTCCTTAATCTCACCAACCATTCTCTTGGGAATCACTAGATTCCTCCAGATTGGAGAATTACAGAAATAATTCCCTAGCTTAAAAAACAAGAAGTGGGTCTACATATTGATAATATAAGGCCTATTGCATTAGCCTCTCATGTTATAAAATTAATTGAGAGTCTTTACTTTAGAATCATTGAGTGTATTGTAGACAACTCAGTACTGAGCCCTTGTCAGATAGGACTTAGACCTGGATGTTCCGTATGGGATGCACTTACAGATTTAGAGAGAGACATAAAACTTGTTCGTCACTTTTGAGCATTAGTAACTCTTGATTTGGCCAAGGCATATGACAGTGTCGAACACTCTATCCTGCTCAATTTATTAGAAATCTTCAACTTCCCGTGATACATTATTAATTGGATGTACGAGTTTCTAGAGAATAGGACATTTTATTGTTACCAAAGAGGTATATCTTCCCCAAAATCTCACCAGTACAGAAGGGTTCCTGAAGGTTCCGTCCTTTCTCCGATTCTGTTCAATATTTTATTATGTTCGGTCCCCATTCACAATAACGTCCAAGTGTAGATATATTCAGACAACATTGTGTTCTTCCCTGCTGCTAGTGATATTCATTCTTTGCACACAAGATTACAGGCATATTTAGGATCATTACAAATATGGTTTCAACATATTCAAATGACCCTAAGCATCAGCAAAAGCTCAGTGATTGTTTTCGTTTGAATTTTCCAGTTAGCATTTCCCTTCAATATTGCCAAGAGGTGATTCCACAAAGTCAGTGTGTTAAACATTTAGGGGTACTTTATGACGAAAAAGTCACTTTGCGTAGCCACATTGAATATATTAAATCTAAGGCTACTCGAGCTATTGGATCAATTCGCAAACTCGGTCGACACGCCAGTGGTCTACACAGGGACAGTCTAATTATCATTTATCATATACATGTCCACTTGATTTTAGAATCTAGTTCCATTTTATACTCTTGGGGCCCAGTATACAAGAATAATCTCGTTATTTTAGATTGAGAGGCTCTTCGGAGTTGTTTATAGGTTCCGAAATTTACTGCCAACACTGTGTTATATCAAGGAGCCCGAATCCCCACCTTAGCTTGTAGATTCTCCATGCTTACCATCGGAGCGTATTTAAAAATTTACGCTTTCTCAAGAGCCTGAAAACATGCTGACGTTTCATCAGCAATAGGAAAAAACATTAAAAATATTATTCAGAAAATTGAGCATTACTCTTAATTCTGAAAACATTATTTCCATTGAAGCTTCTTCTCCGGGCCACAGAAACAGGAACGTCTGCATAGCTGTCTGCGAATTTCTTAAAGACACGAGAAGATCTTCTTGTTAGGCTATCCCTAATGGAACTCTAGTTTTTTTACATTCAATTATTAATTTATATTACAGTACTCTATCTACTTCAATCATACGTGACTTTGAGATTGTTAACTTTCATATTGCCTAGATATCTGTTTTGTTCATTTTCCTTAATCAAACTTGAAATTCTTTTATCCTCAATATAATAACCATTGGTTTAATGGCCAATCCCCCGTAGTGGCTACGAGCCAAGCATAGGCACAAGCAAGCAAACATCTCTAGAGTCGTAGATATGCTTCACTTTTTAAAGACGTCCAAGTGAAGTTCAACTTCTGCACTCAATTTCATTTTATCTGAGCCACGGCCCCGCAGTGGGTACGACACAAACACTTGTGTGAAGGTTGCAACTGGTGACGGTGCATCTTGTTCTTGCAGTGCTGACCTCATCGGTCAAGAAAGAGAAAAAGAAGCGCAAAGCCCTCGGGGTAAGCGTGAAAACAGTCGGCGTGAGGTTATTGGCTCCACTCTAACGTTTGATCCTTTTGCTTGCTTTGAGTAGGACTTGCAAGCGGAAGGAGACTTCCTGATCGCACCCTCGGACAAAGCTGGCAGCCTCAACACGTCACAATGGCCGCTGCTGCTCAAGGTGCTTTCCCTCCACCTTCTTTTTGTTTTTGTGCACGGTTCTGCATTATCTTGCCAGTCCAAATGTGTAGATGTGCCTGGCAGTTTCAGTATGCTCAAAAGGCTGCCCTGCTTCCTAGCCCCCAATGTAATAAAAAAATTTTCCGTTGTAAGTGACTGCTTTTTTACTCTTTATATGGCACAGTTGTTTTGACTCAACGATATTATGGTGATCACATTTGGATGGTGACATAAAAGAGCCTCGGGCATTCCTGTAGAGCAGATAGATGCACTGATGTCGATGAACCTTGGTTGAGCTGAGTGGTATGTTTGTGCAGAATTTCGACAAGCTCAATGTGAGGACCAACCACTACACACCCATGCCTCACGGCTGCAACCCACTCAAGCGGGAAATCCGCGAGTACATACGCTCTGGCTTCATCAACTTGGACAAACCATGCAATCCATCTTCACATGAGGTGGTCGCCTGGGTCAAGCGAATACTGAAGGTGTGTACTTTGAGATTTCTTGTCTTCGCCATCTTGTAGTCAACTGCCTTGGCTTCATCTGTTGTGGTACATTCAGGTGACAAAAGAAGCGATTTCTCTGCTATGGAGGTGCAACTTATCTTTCTTAGCTGTAGCACGCTTGCGATGTTCCTGTGGTGCAAAGTGAACGGATTAACATGAATGTTGGAAAAGTGTGCAGCATTTATTGTGTAGTGAAAGATAAGTTATGTTGAAAGACTCGATTAAGGAAAGGAATCTCTTGTTCCACAACTGCACGTATCATAGCATCACGTCGGGGCAAGAAGGAAATATGGCAGACGCTCTGTAAACAGCAATCTCTTGAGCGGAAATTGCAGTCAGAATAAAATATCTATACTCAGTTTCATAAGTTCTGTGCAACAGAGCCAAGGCTGCGCGATCTTCGAGCGTAGATTCTTGCTAAGCGAGATACATTACACAGTTATCAGAACTTGTTGCATGTCTGCATGGTCTCGTTCGATTATTACTTTAAGCCTTCTATATGTTGTTTGCAAACTGTGCTGTGTCTGGCAATATTGCCCCATTTTTCATATAAAATAATTCTTGTGTCACTGCGATGCTAGAGAAACAGTTCTCGCTTTTTCATATTTTAACATGCAACGGGGGAAAGAAACTGTGCTTGATATGCATTAAGTTTTCATCTCTAAAGTACAAACTATTGGTATGACATTGTCTTAAATATTGTATCTAGTCGGCACAGCCAAAGTGCCACGGAGGAGCCAGCATTGTGGTCAAGAGTTCAGCGAAAGTTCATCTGATCAGGTATCATGATGAGGACGTAGGTGCGGTCACTGACCAAGTTAAGGGGAAAAAATTCTCACATGGACTTCTTGTTCACACACTGAACATGACACAACTGGGGAGCAGTTATTGTTAGACTGTCACTGCTCTCCATACATATTTCTTGCTGCTCTTCGAACATAATTACTATATTCATTACTCGGAATATTTTGTTTATGTTTTTCAGTGTTATTTGATTGATTGATATGTGTGGTTTAACGTCCCAAAACCACTATATGATTATGAGAGACGCCGTAGTGGAGGGCTCCGGAAATTTAGACCACCTGGGGTTCTTTAACGTGCACCCAAATCTGAGCACACGGGCCTACAACATTTCCGCCTCCATCGGAAATGCAGCCGCCGCAGCCGGGATTCGAACCCGCGCCCTGCGGGTCAGCAGCCGAGTACCTTAGCCACTAGACCACCGCGGCGGGGCTCAGTGTTATTTAACCTGAAAGTTCAGCACGTACACGGGATTCCTTAGGTTCACTGGACTGTGGTGGAAGACACATTTCGTGAAAAATGGAGCAGCAAAAGAGGAGAAAGTGTTCTACGAACTACCAGCTGTTTAATGACAGTGAGAAATGTACAGGAAGAGAGAAGACGTTTCCGCGCATGCGTGGACAGTTGTCATGCGATGCGCAGTGACATAGGGCACCATGTTATCAAGAAAGCGCATTCCTGTCGAATGCAAAATTATAGATGTGTCACTGACACAATGTTAGCACTAACTTGCTCGAAAACGAACCCTTTTGGAGCTATGCTGGATTTCTGACTTCGTCAGGCAGAGTCCCAATGTAAGCTGATAAATAGCTGCAACCCCAGCTCAATAGAGGAGACGAAAGGGAACTTGCTAATGTAAAGGAAACAAAAATCTTGCAATTTTATAGCGTGATGTACACTCAAACCTCGTTATAAAAAGCACAGGTATAACGAACGAAAATAGCCTTGCAATAGATATAGTGTTAGGAATAAACCTTGATAAAGACATTGGGTGTATCACAATGATCAGCCTACAAATGCATTGCCCACATTGTTATCGAAGCTCCAGATTCTTGTTTTCCTTATGTAATCGCTCCCCTGTTACCTAAGTTGTGTCGAGCTGTTGATCCAGGTGACAAGCACCTAAACTGTAGGTTATGTCAGTTGTTTTGTGGCAGCTATGGTCAGAATCGTCAGCGGCAAAATTTAGCATTTTGATGACTCAAGTAGACGATATGTGTTCATTGTGCTGATGAGTGTGGCGCTAGCTCATTAACAATATGTATGTGCCTTACAGCAGTAGACATTGAAGATAAGTTGCGTTGAACTGCCCACGTCCTGACAAATCATTTATGAATGTCAGATCTTCTTCAGAACCTACCAGTGTATGATGATATGCTTTTTGTTCGGGCACCTAGATCTGCCAAGGCTTAGCTCTGCCCGGAAAGGGCTGATGAAATAAGCTGTCCTACGAAGTTACCAAACTGGCAGTACGGTATTCTTTGGATACTGGATACATTCAAGAGTGTGGGCTATCTTATTTATGAGCGATGTGTTCAAAGGCTCTCTGTTGCCATGTGCAACTAGGACAAAGCTGAAGGAGCCGCATGGTCTTGTCCTGGCATTCTCCTTAATGATTGATTGTGGAACTTCCTGCCCTTTGTCCTCCTTTGCAGGTGGAGAAGACAGGCCATAGCGGTACGCTAGATCCCAAGGTGTCTGGGTGCCTCATTGTGTGCATTGAGCGGACGACCCGACTCGCCAAGTCACAGCAGAGCGCAGGCAAGGAGTACGTGGCCATCTTCAAACTGCATCAGGACCCACCTTCTTACGCACATGTTGCCCAGGTTAGGAAGACCATACTCTCCTAGCACTGTACTGTATCTCCTGGACTAAAGCGAATGTCCTTGTAGTTTCTCGTACTTCCTTTATAATCAAATAGAAAGAGAAATATTACTGCGCACCTAGTTTCATCGCAAACGTCGACTTTTCGGGTTTCCACTGTACGTGTTAAATTCATCTTAAGTTAGAACACTTTCCTTATTTCTTCAGTGTGTGTCAGTAGTGACAGAGATTTCGTATAAATGTTAGTGAGGGTTCGAGCAGAAATTTCCTTTAGTTTGTAGTTTTTGGAATCATGAAAATGCGTTGCACTCAGTTCAGCGCCCTCTTTAAAAAAAAAAGCCATTCTGATTACTTTTCCAGCCACACATACTTCATCCTGTCTGCCAAAGTACTGTTAGAGCTACTCTCTTGGTAGCTTTAATGCTTACCAGCATGGTTTTTCAAAACCATGCTTTACCAGCATGGTGTTGTCAGTGTGAAAGATATGCAAGAGATTGGATGTGGTCGCCTTTGGCTGAAGGAAGTGCCACTCTTACTGAAAACATAACTACAGGCTTGGAGACATTAACCGAAAGCTGAAGCAGCCAACTGACTTTGCGTTTAAGTTCTTGCATGCTTGTCGAACATGTGTGACCTCTGCCTATAATCATTGTCGATATATGTTGTGTGCAGGCATGCGAGAAGTTGAAAGGTGCCATGTTCCAGCGGCCACCTCTAATAGCAGCAGTCAAACGACAGCTTCGCATCCGTACCATTTACGACAGCAAACTGTTAGAGTTTGACAGCAAGCACAACTTGGGTGAGTCTGTGCCAGCCCTCTTTTCTTAGTAATAGTCAGGCTAGGGCACCATTGGTATGGCATTATTGAAGAGCTCTGAGAAAGCTAATGCAACTTTTACGTAAATGCCAATATTTACAGTTATGGGGCTCTTCGGACTCTCACCGTTTTTGTGATAAAGTCTAGCCCGCTTATAACAAACCTGAGTCTGGCGCGGCATCCATTCGCTGTATCCTGAAGTTCGTAATAAATGAAACACAGCTTTTAAAAAAGTTGCAGGTGACACAAATTTTTTTGCCCCACAAAGTCGGTGATGCACGTGTTTTGAAGAGCAAGAGCGATAAGGGCGGTCTCGAGTTCATTTAAAATGGCAGGGTGCTTGTTCGCCGATGCCCGTGGCATAAGCTGCATGAGACACTAGCTCCAAAGTTTTGTCGTTCTCGAAATCCGATTCCTCCAAATCACTCTCGCCATGTACTTCATTCACAATGCTTTAATTCGTGCATGATTCCACAGTGTCGGCATCATCATCAGCCGTAATTAAACCATCGTAACACATCTCCCACCCGCTCCTCCAGGTCGTAATCAACGCCGCGCTGCCACAAATCGCTGCTGGAGTGATCCTGTTCGGAAGCTTCAGGTTGGGCATCGGGCCCGACGTTGACGAAGTCGGCCTCGTGAAAACGGTTTCGCGCGCATGTAGCAATCACCACCGCCTACGAAATATTTACCGTCTCCACAGCTGAATACTGGGACCCCCGAAGCGGCAAGTTGGCTGCCAGGTGGTCAACGGCTATGAGCAAGCACTCCGCAACGCGGCACCTGACGCACAGATTACGCTGAAGTCAAGTGGTCACAGTTTCGACATTTTGTTGAGCAACAGGAAAAAGCGTGCAAGTTCCCTAGTCTGCCATCCGGACCACACACGCACACCAAGGCGAGCAAGATGCGCACACGCGACACACATGCCAGAACGCGTGGAACACCTCTGGGCCCATTTCTAGTCAGCAAACGAAACTAATTCGAACCAGCGTGGCTGGCAGTAGCCGAGCGGTGGAGACGGGCGAAGGGGTTGTGATCAAGAGAGAAGAGCAGATTTGCGAGAGAAGGGCATGGAGTTGCGATAGAGTGAAGAGAGGGGAGGATGCGGCGGGAGGACAACCTTGAAAACCAAAACACACAAGGAGGAGGCAGGTTGGGTAGCTTGCTTAAAAAGTCCGTGAAACTCGCTCGTAGAAAAACTTGGAAAGTCAAAGCATGATCGCCTGGATTGGTGCGCGCGGCGGTGTTTGAAGAATCGGCGGCCGTGGTCAAGAAATCATTTTGTTGCGCCGGCGGGTTTGCATAGTTTCACGAACTTCGATATTTAGCGATTCGTTCCGCGCAAATTAACAGCCGTTTTCGCGCTTCCTCACGCACGCGGAAGGCATGCTGATTTGAGTGCGAAGTGAGCGAGAACAAGTCCTAAACACGAAACGAATCGCAAATTACTAGAGTCGGTAGGGTAGCGTACGTGCATGCACTAGACGCAGACGATCGGATATAGTCGGTGGCCGACGATGTTGGCAAATGGTCTGGCCACTCTAGGCCGCCGACGCCAACGACAGTACCAGCGATCAAAAACAAGGTAGATGGCCGATCGGTCTTCGAAAGATCGGTGGCAGTGTGAAAACACGGGCCTTGTTTGACAATGCGGGATGCTCAGAGTAGCGGGTGGTCAAAGGTTGGAGGGGTGCGTAACAAAAAGCAGTCGGGGTATGGAGGAAGGAAACAGCTTTCCTTCCTCCATGGATTGGGGAGAGCGGCAACTAGAGGGTTCCGGAGGCAGGTACGGTGTTTTTAACAATAAGAATGTATGGGCACCTCGCCGATGCCTGATCGGTGGTCAAAATTGGTTTCCCGGGAAGTCGGCAGACCGTTGATTTCGTTTGCTGTAACCGTTTGCTGTAACCGATCAGCGGCGCTCGGAGACGTTCGTTGTAAGAGCGATTTTGTGCCATGGAACCAATGTATATTTTCACGGTCACGCGGATATTGTTCGTTTTAAGCGAAAGTTAGTTTTAAGTGGGGCTGTTATATTTGGGCTCGACTGTAGTTGTTTTGTGTCCCGTTAAGGCAACATTTATCTAGAGCTCGCACTGGGGTGGGACGTGGACCTGGGATATCTTCGGACACTCTCGTCTGTTGCTTGTCGTCGGGTTCCTTGGTTCTTTTGCGTCAGCAGCCTTCAAAGCCCCTTGAGTCAGCAGTCTCCAATCAGGAACCGCTGCTGGTTGCGGGCTGGATTGGACCCATGGGCGAGTGGTATTGCCACGAGTTGCATAAGAGGCGCCGGACTAGACGACGTCGACTGCATCATCGGGCTGGAATTGGGGGTGCCGCGCATTGCGTAAGACGTCGCCAGAGATACTGGGGATTGCATAAGCCTGGCTCGCTCGCTGGTTTTGACGCTGGTTTCATCATCAGATGATACTTTGCAGAAGCAATGACATTTGGTTTGAACTCCCAGGCATAACAGCAGTGTTGGCGATATCGATGTCACTTGTGACTTCTTAGATGGCGGCCCTTGCTTTCAGCTGCTTTGATGCGAAAAGCTAGAATAAGTGAAGCCTCGGAGACATGCTTTTTAAAACGGAAATCACAAAAAAAAAAAATACGTCCCAAGGTTGCACATCTCGAAGAACATGCTTATCAGGCTCGCATGCCATGGTGCGCTAGCAAACAAGAAAGGCAACGCGAAAATTGGAACAATATCGCCGAGTCGCTTCGCATTCTCATTTTGGTGTCCTCGGCAATCTTTTTCTTTTTTTTTTTTTGAAAATCATTATGGTTGCGTGTGACGACCAGCAGATCGTGCATCAAACATATCGGTGCACTAGTAAGCGCCGTGTAACGAACTCGACCAGCGCGATGAAATCACACCACCTTTTCGTCAACTGCAGTGTGAAACGGGATCGGAACATGTTTTAACACAACCGAAAATTGATCAATACTTGCTAGGAAAATTGCACTTTCTGGGCTTCAGCGCGGCGCAACGCGTCGATATCGAGGATGTCCTGCTGTGTGGGAGTTCCATGTACGATTGCACCGGTCTAATACCTGGAAAGTTCAAGGGGATGTCTCAAATGTTCAGTATAGCCAATAATTCGATATATCCGAGTTTATATATTTGGATCGACTGTGTGTGTGTACACAGTAGAACCATCTTGAAACATTGCTGCTTAACACGATTTGCCGACTCCTATGCTCGAAATCGCGAAAACTAGAAATGCACCCGTAGAGCTATGTGTTGATACGTTCTGCTTAATGACTCCCTGTGAAATAAGATTATTTAGCAGCAATGTTTGGCATTGCGGTAAACTGCTGTCTTATGATACTTTCCGCGGGCAAAAATTCTGATTCAGGTGTTCAAAAAAAAGAAAAAAACGCTTGGTGCTCGTGGAGTGCGAAGTGGCCCACTGCCGCTGTGCGGTGACAGCGCTTTCTTTGCGTGTTCCGCACACTTTTTTTTTTTTTTGTGTTCAGGCCCATGGCTACAACAGTCGAGAGAGCACTACGGGGCTAACAATGTGGCACAAAGAATGGGTGTGCTGTCGGTCACCTTTAGTTGGCCATGCTTCGGCACAAGACGAACGTGCTGCCTCTGCTAGACATTGCACCGCGCATATTTCTCACTTTTGCTATGTCTGCCTCCTCTCCCAACCCCATCTTGCGCACAGCTGGATTCTGTCACCATGTTTCTCCCTTAGATGATTTACAAAGCCGCACGCATTTAAGTACGTTAGCCGCACACCTTTATGGTAAAGATGGAACTTGACGAACCTCTCTTCGCTTATCCCGCCTCCCTGTCTTTAGCGATGGATGCATGCCTTGCTGTGTTATTTGGGTGTCTGCTACTCTGCAGGGCAATGTTCACCGGAAACGAGCGTCGCCCAACGAGATCGTCGTCAGTGATTGTCGCTACTTCACGGATAAAAAAAAAAGGCATGTGCAGGCTGGGCCCTGTGCTAGGCTGCACATTGCTCAGTAGTTAGAGATTCAAGACAGCTGTGTCTAGCATGATGTCGAGCATGCTCAAGCCCTTGAACGACTTGAGCACTACTAGAGACTGTGACAGGTGAAACGGCAATTGTTCCAGGAAGGGCGGTTTTCAGCGGCAGCTTGCAGGATACAAGAGCGCATCAAAGATGAACCTGTGATCAGCGAATTTTCACAATGGCACTTTCTTTTTGCAGTTTATTTTGTTGGCCACGCTGGTCTTTCGATGTTATTTTCGGAAATTTGAATGTAGGTCTTGCACTAGCGCAGCATAAAAAAGGTGGTTGCGACTGTAGCTCGGATATTCGTGATCAGCGGTTTATGCTGTAGTCAGAAATAAGACTTTCGGAATTTTATCCCGAATTATAGGAGCCAGTTTTTCTGGAAAAAAAACTGCGCCTATTATGGGAGTAGTTACGGTACTTCGAATAATTTAGAGTTCCTTTAGTCTCACTTGTTGTATGCTCTAATAATTGCAAAACTCTCTTAAGGGGGGAGGCTACCATCGGATAGCAACTTTTTTGTTTATTGAGATATCTTAATGAAATTTTCAGGGTAGACTTATAGCAAAAGCATTAGAAGAACTACAAAATTTCATCAAATTATGTTCACTGGTTTTCAAGTTACAGCAGAATATCAGGGTAGTGCACATGGTTCTCTTATTCCAGGCCTGGAGAACTTTCAAAAGGTGCTGGAACTGTGAAATTAACTATGATGATTCCCAGATTGATACTCCAGGGGGTAACAGAGCCCTTTTTTTGAATTTCCTTGCTGAAAAGTTTTAGCAGACCATCAAACTTTGTGTTCGTGATTAGGATATTATCAATCAAATTTTGATTAAATATAATAAATAACACACACAATATATTGAAAAAATGGGCTTGTTACCCCCTCAGAAATTTATTCATGTACATAATAAAAAAAGACTTATGGAAATTCAATGAGTGGTTCCAGAGATATGGCTGGAATAAGCAGCCTCACTA